CCGGAGACAGGCCGTCGGGTCTATAAGCACTTCGGGGAAAACCGCTACGGCGGGGGCGACAGAGCTCGCGAGGTGGCAGTGAAGTTCTGGGCCGAAGTCCGCAAGCGTAGCGCTGACGGCGTCGAGAGGGGCGAGTGGCAGGGCCTCACGGAGGTCACCCGCAGAGTGCGAGAAGAGGGAGTTGAGGGCATCCTGCAGGAGGTCCGTGCATCCCCACAGATTACCGCTTGCATGCCCCAGCCAGCAGCAGCAGCAACAACGGCAGGCACTGCTGCCACCCAGACAGCTCTCCCGGAATCTGATGCAGCACCTACTGAAGACCCTTTGCTGGGAAGGCAGCTGCCTGCGCCCGCATCGACAGCAACTACGCCCTTGCAGCAGCAGCAGCCAAAGCCAGGTAGTGAGGTGGAAAACAATGATGCTTTGGGGGAAACATCGGCAGACAGTCGCTTCTCCACGTTTGGAGAGCAGCAACAGAACCAGCCTACAACTGCTGTTGAGGGATACCGGCAGCGTGGCTCCTCTCTAAGACCTACTACCAGGGGCAGGATTCACAGGGAGGCCTCCAAGGACCTTTCAGCTACCAGCAACAGTCGGCTCAGCCAGCAACAGCAGCAGCAGCAACAGCAGCAGCAGCAGCAGCAGCAGAAGACACACAGAGAAGACTACGCAGCACTTGCTGACGGAGGAGCGGTGGCCCCAGAAACAGCTGTTTCCGGGGAGAATGAAGCGGGTGAGGGACAAGGACTTCCTCAGCAGCAGCAGCAGCAGCAGCAGCAACAGCAGCAGGTAGAGTTGGAACAGTTCACCTCTTTGCCTAGGTTAGGAGAAACTCAAGGATCTGCTGCGTACTCTGGACAGCAAGAGCAGCCACAACAGCAGACAAAAGAAGGGAGCGGTCCAGCATATGTTGTAGGGCCTCCTCAGCAGCAGTTCCGGGGCAATCTGGAGGCCCAAGCAGTGGCTACTCAGCTGTCTGATGCTTCCCTCACCAGTAGGGGCCCCCTTCTGAACAAAAACCCAGCAATAGAACCCCTTTCAGGGGACCCCACAGGTACGGGAGAATGGAGATCGCCGGTGGTCAACCAGCCTTCAGGAGACCCCCCGCTGCCACTGTACGCGCCGGCCATGGGAGGCATTCAGGGTGGGGGCGGCATTTGGGGGCCAGGAGGAGAATCCAGTGGGGCCTCTAACATGAGCGACGTCACCGGGACAGCCAAAAACGGATCTGAGCTGCTGCTCAAGCGCGAGAACTCCAACGGCAGCCGCCTCTCCTCTCTCGCAGGAACAGAGCCTCCCCCGAAGAGGTACCGCCCCGACGGGAGAGAGTCGCCATTGCCAGAGGGGGCCTCCTGGGGCCCCGCTCCGCCCTTGGCGGCCTTCCCCGCCGGAGGCAGAAGTGCTATTAACAAGGCTCTCACGGGCCCCCAGATTGTCCAGCAGGGTTCCTGCAGTGGCATGGGCTTCGGCGGGCTGGGGCAGGGCTCGGTGGCCCCCATGGAGTTCCCCCAAGGCGCTGCAACTGAGGCTTCCGCCGCAGTGTCTCTGTCGAGCGGGGCTTCCCAAGTGCTGTCTCCCGAAGCCAGCGGGACTCTCTTGATGAGCTGCTCAGGGGATACCTCGGGCCCTTTGCCAAGTCTCCAGGGCCCGCTGGGCTTTCAGGAGATGCAGGGGGCAGGCGGCGCAGCCTCTACGATGCCCACTCCCTTCCCCGCCAGCGGCGCAATGGGCCCTACTGGGATGCTGTACTCAGCTCCGTCCCCGTTTTCTCCCACTGACACCCAACTGTCTCTGCAACAGCAACAGGCATTGAGGCCGGGCCAGCCCCCTTTAGAGGGCTACCTCGTGGGCTGCCCGTCGGATGTGCCCTATGCCACCCGCCCGCCCACCCCAGGTGTACAGACACCAGGGATGCGGACCCCAACCACCAGCTCAACTGTGTCATCTTCTCGCCGGTCGCGATGCGGCAGCTCGGGGTCGTCCCGCAAGGGCCAGACAGGAGGGGTTTCTGGGCGCAGCGGAAACGGGAGCGGCGGGCACGGGCAGCGCACCATAGGGAGGATCTACTCCCTCCTCGTGAGAGGTGTCAGGTGCTGGAGGGCGGAGTGGCACGACCGCTCAAGTGGCCACCGCAAAACGCGCCAATATGCTGCGCCGAAGCACGGCGAGCAGCAGGCCCGGGCGCTGTGCCTGCAGGCCCTCTGCCAGGCGCGCAGCGTTCCGGCGCAGCTGCTGCGCGAGGCCCAGCAGACCTTTGCCTACGAGCCGAACCTCTCCCCCGAAAACAACTCAGAGCCCGAGGACCCTCCGGCAGAGCAAGCCGTGCCCCGGGGAGCCAGCTACGCCTCCCAGCCACAGCTGCAGCAGCCTCCGCACGGCCAGCTGCTGCAGCCCGCGTCCATAGAAGAACCGACCGGCCATCTGGTGCAGCCTCAGTTCCAAAGAGGAGAGGCCAGCACGAGCAACGGGGGCTTTGCACAGCAAGGATATTTCTGGCCTGGCACGGGGCGGCCACCCAATAGCTCTTTCGGGAGCCTCCCCTCCATGCTGGACACCAGCGATCAACAGACATATGGCACCAGCGCGGAGCCCGTGGGTCAGCCGCAGCAGCAGCAGCAGACTGGCTTCTTCCTGGGCGGACTTGGTCTGCCTATGGAGACACCAGCCGCGGGGATTCCCATTGAAGAGGCACCAAGCGGGCCCCACGCCAATCCGAATGCCCCCAGCGTCTTTCCGCCCGACAGCAGCAACCCCGGAGCAGTTGCTGCTCCATTTGGAAACAACGCTTTCACCGCGGGGGGGAATGCCGAGCACCCTGCTGTCTGCAGCGCCTCCCCGTTTGATGCAAGAAGTGCCCAGGAAGGGCTGACAGCTAAGCAGGAGCTGCCAGAGTCGGCAATGAACAGTTTGCCGCTCGTGTGCGCCGCCCGCGCTGTGGGAGTGGACCCCAACAACCCAACCTCCTTGAGCCCCCCTCAGCAGTGTGCTTTTCCAGCCGCAGCAACGACATCTGCTGGTGCTCTCATGACCAAGGAAGAGCCAGCTAACTGTGCAGATCCCGATTCCCCCGAAGCCACCGCCAGAGCTGAAGGAGACAGAGCAAATGCCTGGAACCCTTCTTTTCTGGCGGCGTAACAAGTTTGCCAGAAACACGTCTCGATCGGATTTATTACATTCGGGACATGCCGAAAGGAAATACCCGCCGCGAGCTGAACTCCCGTCTCCAAGCTGCGGGCCTTACTCAATTACCGCGTAGGCCAGCAGCAAATACAACAGCAACCGCTTCAACACAGCAAGCAGCAGCAGCACCGTCAGCAGCGTCAGCAATACCAGGAGCGTCAGCAGTATCAGCAGCGTCAGCCGTATCAGTAGTGTCAACAGCGTCAGCAACAACAGCACAAGCGGCGGCATTGTGAAATCCTGAGAAGACCGAATATTTTTTGCGCCGTAGCCTAGCGCCTGTCTTATCTCCCGCTGGAATCTGTCCCCAGTTTGTTAGTCTGCAGCTCCTTGGAAGGCTAAAGTGCCTGCGTGCGGCCCTGTCTCCAACGGAGTGTACGTACAGTGAGGCACCGACTGCGGTATCTGTGCGTCGGATAGCCTTGTCCGTCTCGCCGATTTCGTTCTGGTAATGTTTTAGTTTTTACTGAGCACGAATAGTTTGTAGGGGGCTCTTTTCGGCCTTTTCCCAGCCCCCAGCCCAGTCTTCACGACTGTCTTCTGTGGCTGTCGTGCCGTGCTTCCGTCCTTCCCCTGGAGCATTTTTATATTGTGTTATTTAGACTCCAGAGGCAACCTCCTCCGTCTACCTGCGTGCTGTCGGCGCCGGCAGCAAAGCCATCACCTTTAACAGCGTTTCCGTCTGCAAGCCGCAGCCACCCCGGTGGCCAGAGGCCGCATCTTAGCCAAATGGCCCTATTCCACGAGAAGGCTCCAGTGCCCCCAAGGTCACCCACCTTATCAAAAGAGCCAGGGAACCCTTGGGGTGGGGAGCAGCACCGGTATCCCGCTGGCGCCAGCGTTCTCGAGGTCCCAACAGACGCTCAGCTAAGGTAAAACTAACTCCCTCAGTAGTTCAATCAGCGTTTCAAGTTCGTCCGTTCATTTCCCGCGGCAAGCAAACCCAGAAACTGCAGCTGCCACATCGAGGGGCTCAATGGTGCTTTGGGAAGTCTCCACCGTAACCCCCAAATTGTGGAGTATATGCCTCGAGCTGGACTGGAGCGCCTTCCACTGCCCTTTGCGGCTTCACTGGCGACCTCTGCCATTCAGGACCGCCCACAGCAACCCCTGCTGCCAGGCCTCCTTGGGGCTTTCACAAAAGTTACTCATTCGTATAGTCTGCATGCGGCGCTGCTCGCGGCCCACCGCCGGACAGAGCGCTATATCCTTTCGTTTCACCTTCCCTCTTCTCTGTCTACACCCTTCCACATAGAGACATTTCAGCACTTTCGTGTTCAGGTGGCAACGCGCAGCAAGACCGCAACAAACTGTTTTCGTAGAGATTTATTGTTTAGTCTCTCTGTAGAGCACTTGTCACTACCCAGTTAGCCACTAGGCTGCAGCTTGTGGGGATCTAAATCCTCAAGAATACAGTGATGCCTAAGAGTTCAAAAGCTGAGGCACCTGCTCCCCTAGCTCGTCAAATCCATTCCTCTTTTTCTTTCACAGGGTGTGTAGAGCCCTTCGCCTAAGGGCTGTCCCCAGTACGCATCAGTGTAAGCAATCAAAAAAAAGAAACTCATCAGTTGAAGGCATTAGCCGCAGGAGCCGCTGCTGAAGTCTCCCTCAAGAGCTGCAACAACTGTGGCAGTGCTCCAATTAGCAGTAGCTGGAACAGGCCACTTACTATACTGCGGCTGCACACAGCAACTAATGCAGAGGCCCGGCGGCAGGCGCGTCTTGTTAAAGGCAGACGCTGCCACTGCAACTGGCAGCTGCTTTGCCGCTACAACTTGCATGCATGCCTGTATGCATACATGCATGCATGCATGCAGGGCCTACGACCAGATTTTGACGACTCCGTCTCTTCCCGCTGTGACTAAAAAGAGGTCTCCCTGGCCAATCACCGAGATTCCAGTGACAGCGTCTCTGTGCATCGGCGAAGGCCCCCCAAAACCTTGGGGCGCCTCAGCTTCCTCCCCCTCACCCCACACGGGGGACCAGGAGGCGAAGTCCGGGCCACAGGGAGGCGGCATGCAGCAGCAGGAGCTCCCAGGCCCGCCGACGAGTTTGCTTCTGCTTCTGCTGCTGCTACTGCTTTTGCTGTTGCTCCTGTCCAGCACTAACAAGTCCCTGCCTTTTCGTGCAAAAGTACTGCCTGCCCCTCTGGGAGCCTCACCAGCTTCTTCCGTTCCCAAGTCCGCAGCAGCCAGCAGAGCCTCCCAGTTCTCCCCTTTCGAGGCCCCCGCCTCGCCAGATAATCGGCCCGCAGCAGCAGCTGTTGCTGTTGCTCTCGCTGCTGCTGCTGCTGCTGATGCACGCCGCAGGAAACGCCGCCCCTGTGGGGAGCGACAGCAAACTTGCTGCAGCACATGGGTGCCACCTATGGTGAGAGAAGCCATTAGTGATGAACCACGATCTCTTTCCCGGCATCCGCATGCAGTCGGGGGCCCCAGGACACAGTAAGAGCGCACCAGGTCTGTGTCTAAGAAAGTGGTGTCTGGAGAAGTTCCCGTGGCGGCTCCTGCTGTTTCCCCTCTGTCTGCAGATGCTGCTTGCTGCTGCTGCAGCTGCTGCTGCTTTTGCTTCTGGTACCCCAGCTTCGCAGCAAACACAGCTCGCTCCTCCGCCAAATCCCAGTAGTGGACACAGAGATCTTCCCCAGCAGATAAAACGAAGCCAGCAGGGCCTCTCAGAGGTGGGGGCATCCAGAGATACCGGGGCATGTGCGGGGGAGCCTCATCGGCTCCCCAGAATCCCGACACTCCCCGTGGTATCTGGAGTATGTTACTGCATGCAGATGGCAGAGACAGCGCCTCCATGGACAGCAAAACCAGCATGGGTACCGAGAAGCTTTTCGAAGCCTCCCCTGCCCCTTCTGCAGCAGCGGCTGCTGCTGCTGCTGTGCTATCTGCGAAGCAAGAGGTGTTGTACGCGCTGATAACTGCCCCGTCTTGCAGGTCAAGCAGCAGCAGGGGGAACGCCGCGTGCTCTACAAGGGCCAGCATGCAGCAGGTTGGGGCATCTTGTTGCTGCTCGAAAGCAGCAGGCCTGCCCGTCGCGAGGCTGCTGCTGCTAAGAGCAACAGCCGCAGCAGACGGGTCCACAAACAGCAGCTGCTTGACGGCCACTGGGGGCTGGAGCTGCCACGCTCTGAGGACAAGCTGCATGCGCAAGTCAAACTGCAGCAACAAGCCCCCAGTGGTCCCAATCACCAGCCAGCGGGCGTCAGCACCTATGGCCTGCGCTGCCGGCGCCCCCAGCCAAGGCGGAGTCTGTGAAGCGAAGACAGGAGTGGAGACGCGGAGGTCCCAGCCGCCGAACAAGCCATTGCGCAAGGCGTAGAGCAGCAGCTGCTCCAAAGATGTGTCTTGATGGCTAAGACACGCCACGCCGCCGCCGCCAGCTGCTGCTGCAGTTGCTGCTGCGCGCGCAGCAGCGAATCCTGCAGCGCACCGCTTCCCCGCCGATCCATCCGCCGTTGCTCTATACACCAAACGAGACAAAGACAAGGCAGCGCGCGCTGCTGCTGCTGCTGCTGAGTAAGGGCCTTGGCCCAGCTGGCGCTGCAGCAGCCCGAGCAAGACAGAGGGCTTCGCAGACAGAGGCGCCGGCATCAGCCGAGGAGTGGGGAGGCGCAGCAGCGCGCCGGGTATGGTGACTCCTGCGCTACTGCTGCCGTTGTTGGCGTTGCTGCTGCTGCTGCTGTCCAGCCGCAGCAAGTGGCACGCCCCGTCGGAAGTCCCCACAGCTAATGTCCTCGTGTTCTGAATAAGACAATGAGTCGTCAGGTGCAGCTGGGGAGGAACTTGCCACAGACCCACAGCTGGCGCTGCGCGCAGAATCAAGAAAGGCTGCAGCAATACTTAAGACCCGCAGGCCCTCCCCTCAGGTCAAGCACTAGCTGGCTAGCTGCACCCAGCTGCAGCTATACGCACTTCGAGGCACTTGGGAATACAAACTCCCGAGCCAGCCAGCCACTTAAACTGGTTTGTTGAGGCAGCAGCAGCAGAGCAGCAGCAGAAAGAAGAGGCAAGACGCAACAAACTGCAGAGTCAGCCACAATTCTAAGCAGTATGGGGGGCCCTGGACTGGTTCGCAACTTACGCCGAGTGGCCCTGACCAGGGCTGACGCCTTCCAGGCCTTGATGGCCCCTCCCTTGAGGCCCACAGGGACGGCCGCGAGAACTCTCCCGTCATCTGTTGCAGCGAGGCTGAGGAGGCCAACGCCTCTAGAACAAGAGCCCTCATACTCCGTAAGGCTGCGCACCCACTGGCCCCGGGGCCTCCAGGAGGCCAAGTCCGGCAGCCCCGCAACGCCTCCCCCAGCAACAGCCCCTGCACCCTTGCCCTCCATGCTGCTGCGAGCTGATGCTTGCAGCAGACCCTCATGCCGGCCTGCGGTGGGGCCCTTAATTGTGCCGAGGCCTCCTTGCTGGCTGGGGTCCCCCGACAACTGAGAGAGGCTGTCAGTGACTCCCCCTACAACTGTGCTGATATTTTGTGAGGGGCGGCCCAGGGCTGCCGTGGCTGCGGGCAGAGCCAGCCCGCTGCTGCTGCTGCTGCTGCTCAGCTGCTGTGCTCTGGAACTACCCAACGGAGGGGCCCACGCGAACAGCCTGCGGGCAAGTGCTGTCAGTCTCCTTTCGGCAGCAAAGAATGCATCCAGAGAATCAGACACTCGCAGCTGGTAAGGGTAAAGACTGAAGTGACTCTCGTCTTGTCTTTGCAGCCTCCCCACTTCAAGAGAGGGCCGCCGCGGAAGGCCCAGCAGCACACAACGCCAGTCCCGCTGCAGCGGGGCAGGGACCCCCGGGGCTGCGCTGCTTCTGTGTGGAGACAGCCTGGAGACAGTCATTATGTGTCGCTTCCCGCCCCCGAGGGCCCGCTCAGCAAGCTTTCTCGCTGCTGCAGCTGCGGCCGCTGTTGCTGCTGCTGCTTCAGGCAGGCACAGCCCGCGGCAACGCTCCTGCAGTTTCGCCGGCGCTCGCTGCAGCAGCCGCTGCAAGGATGCAGCCGCGGCGACGGGCATTTTCGTCTGCGAGTTCAGGGCTGCAACTGTAGCAGCAGGCGCTGCAGCAGCAAGGAGGAGAGACAAGTAGCTGCTGGTGACTACAGCGGAGCCGCAGCTGACCTGCACCGACTGGGAAGCATTATCCTGTAGGCGCAAGCAGCCGCACCCTCAGGAAACACAAATAGGCAGCCGCAGCAGCAACTGCAGCGGCAGCAGCAAAGGTACGCTTCAGCTATACGGAAGCAGGGACAGATAGCACCATACAGCCACACCCATTTAGCTGCTGCAGGCAACAGCAGAAAGCCCGGAGTCACACTTCGGCAAATTCGCAGCAGCGGCTGGCTGAACAGTAGCAGCAGCATCCGCAGCGGTAGGCGTATACGCGCTTCAGCAGCACACTCAGAAGCAGCAGCACAAGTGGTAGCAGCAGCAAATAACAGCAGCAGCTACTGAGAACTCGAAGGGTCTTAGCCGCGGCGCACCTTGCGGTGAGTTGAGAGGCCAAGAAGAGCCTGCAGCAACGACGGCTGCGGGGGGTATATCCACAAGTGTCTCCCCACTGCGCCCGCAACGGCTGTGGCAGCTGCAGTTGCTGCAGTCATTGCAGCTTTTGCTGCAGCGTCAGAGACTTCGGGCGGGCACACGTCCAGAAGAGCATGTGCTAAAGATCGCTGCTGCTGCTGCTGCTGCTGCTGCTGCTGCTGCTGCTGCTGTTGCTGCTGCTGCTCCGTTGCCTGAAGCGAGGCCTCGGCTTTGTCTGTGGAGCTGTCACTGCCGCTGTCGTTTTCAGCACTGTTGTTTCCACTGCTACTGCTGTTGCCCGCAGCAGCAACGGGCGGCTCGTCTGGCCACAGGCAGCCGTGCAGCAGCAGCATCTGGTGATGCATCACCAGGCGAGCCACGTGGGGCAAAAGGGTCTCCGCGAAAAGACCCCACAAAGAAATGCGGGTCAGAGGGGGGGCAATGGGGGGTACAGGAGACAGCCGCGTGGCTGTCAGCACTTGGCGCGAAGAGGGCCCCTGCGGGAGCATGTACTTCAGGAGGACTGCCGCTGCAGCAGCAAAACGCACAGCCAAGAGTAAGTCGCCACAGGCAGCAAACAGCGGCAAAAGCCAGAGCAGCGCAGCAGCAGCAGCAGCAGCAGCAAAGAGTGCTTCCCTCCAGCAAACGAACTATGTCCTCGCCCTCTGTAGTTTAGTGCAGCTAGTGCTTGGGCTAATTAGTGGGTAATTGGCTATCTATAAGTTGCAAGCCACCCGCAGTAATGCCCTAAAGAGCTTACTTTGCCTAGCCCCCACTGTGCAGCAAGGAGGCCGCCTGGCCTGCCCAGGAAGAGACTGCAGCAGCAGAGACCCCTCTGGCGCCTCCTCAGCAAGTCCTAAAGTGTCGAGGGAGGAGCCTAGGGGACAATCCGCTGCTGCAGTCGACCCCTCTCCTTTCGCACTTAGGCCTGCAGCGTTGGCTGCTGCTGCCTGACGCCGCGCATGCAGCGTCGGCAGCAGCAGCAGCAGCGCGTGGCGGTCTGCAGGCCCAGCCCCACGCAAAAACTTTACCAGGTCTTCCACTGCCGCTGCTGCCTCCCCCTGCTGCGGCTGCTGCTGCTGCTGCTCCTGCGCAGCCTGCTTCTCCACTTGAATCTGAAGAAGAGGCGCGCCGAACGGCGAAGACGAAGCAGCAGCAGCACTAGAAGCAGCTGCGCGCTTCTCCACTTCCAATATTACCATTTTCCAAGGCCCCAAGCCGCGCCTCATGCCCCGCACTATCAGGGCCCCTGCAGCTAGCCGTTTGTCTGCAGCAGCTTCTTGCAGAAAGGGGGCGCTTGGCTCATCACTGCTGTCGCTGCTGCTTGTGCTCTCGCTGCTGCTGCTGTCGCTGCTGCTGCTGCTGCTGAGGCTGCCACTGCTGCTGCTGCTGCTTGCAGCTCCCGAATGTTCCTTTCGGTGCTTCTGCCCTCTCCGAGCCCTTTCTGCGGCCGCGAGAGTCGTCGGAGAGAAGAGAATCGATAGCAGCCGCTCACTTGCCCTGTTTTCGGGTTGCTGCTGCAGCAGGCGCAGCAGCTGCTGCCGAGAGAGCGGAGACCGCAGAGCTGCTGCAACTTCGTCCACGCTCAGCAACCGGGAATGGCGCCGCAGCACGGGACGCAGCAGTGGCAGCAGCAGGGCATATGTCTGCACAGGGCCCCAACTGTCCTGAACTGCAGCAAGAAGGCGCAGCAGCACACCCCTCAGCAGCAGCGAGGGGAAGAGCAGCAGCGGAACCACTCTTCGAGACAAGAGGCTGTAGGTGGCCTTAGAGGCGGGGCTGAGGAGGCCGTCTGCTGCGAGCTGCGAAAGAGCAGCAGCAGCAGCAGCAACCACTTCCTCCTGCTGGTCAAGGAGACACTGTTCGCAGCAGGGAATGATGCAGCTCTCAGCTGTTGCGGGAAGCGCAAGGGCCCCCAGGCCCCCCAGCGAACGAACCACTGCAGCACGAACCCCAGGGCAGGGGTCATTTAGCTGCACAATGAGGTACGGCAGCAGGAAGCTGTGTGTCTGCTGCGGCCCCAGCACAGCTGTCAGCAGCGGCAGCGGCCGCAGCAGCGCCAGCCGCTGCTCCAGGGGGCGGCAGGTCAGCTGCTGCTGCACCGTCGGCAGCACTGCGGCGTGGAATTTGCTGATGGCCTCTGCCAGCTTTTCTTTTGCTGATGTTGACAGGCCCTCTGCTTCAGTTGCAGCTGCTGCTGCTGTGCGCTCAGGCCCCGGGCAGCTGCTGGCAGGAGAGATATCTGCTGCTGCTTCAGCCAGTGTTACTTTTGAACTAATGGGAACCCCCAAAGAAGGCGACCCTGAGGTGTCAAGTCCAGCAGCAGCAACTTCCTCAGCAGCAGCTCGGTCATCAGCAGCTGCTGCTCCATGCATCTGCTGAGAGCTGCTGCTGCTGCTGACGGCCACCCCGCTTGCTCCCGTAGCAGCTTCAAATGATGCCTCGGAAGGCCTTGCTGCAGCAGCAGCACCTTTGCTTTCCCCAGTATCGTCAATAAAGTTGGCTTGCCTCTCAAGCACATCTTTTGGCCCCACCGCTACAGGCAGTGTAATATGCGCTGGGGCTGCAGCGGTGCTGCTGCTCTTTTTGGCGCTTTCCTGAGCTGCTGCTGCGGAGTCCGAGGCCCTGCGAAGCGCTGTGGCCTTTCCTGCATGCACGGAAGGCGATAACTCATTTTGCTGCTGCTGCTGCTTCTGCTGCTTCTGCTGCTCTCTGCGGGCGCCTAGAAGAGCCTGTGCGTGAAGACAGGCCTTCACTGAAAGAAGCATCAGCGGCAGCAGCTCCGCAACAGCCACGCGGACAGCCGGCTCTGGATCTGCAGCACTTAAGCGGTGCACTGCAGGAAGAATGTAGCCGCAGAAGAGTGCAGCAGCATCGGCCTGCGGGCTTTCCTCTGCTGCAGTGCTCCGCAGCAGCACCGGGTATTGCTGCTGCTGAAGCGATGCCCCTTTGCCGGAGCGACGCACTGAACCGCCTGCCTTCGGGGCCCCCGTCGCTGCAGTTGTTGCGCTGCTGCTGGGCACCTCACTTGCGCAGGATGTACCGCAAAAGGCGCAGAGGGGCCCCTGTGAGGCCAGCTTGGAGCACTGCGCTTTGTGCTGCAGCGCTGCATTCAGCTGCAGCAGCGCTGCAGCGAGGGCCCTGACAGCAGCAGTGCGGACAACTGGGAGCGGATCCCCCAAATGGTGAGTCAGGAAGGGTAAGATGGAGTCTAGCAGGACTTCTATTGTGGCAATCCGCGAAAAAAATCCCAACATGGAGACGCCGCATGCCCTTACACGAGGGCTGCTCGTTTGCTGCAGTGCCAGCCCCACCACCTCAGAGGCAAGAATACAGCAGCTGCTGCGCAGGCAGCCTGCACAAGAGCGCTGTGCTGACTCCACATTAGAAGGCGAGACCACCACAAACGGGAGGCCCACGTCGCTGCTAGCTGCTGCTGCTGCTGCTGCTGCTGCTGCAGACCCGAAGACATGCGCAGGCAGCTCAGGCGGACCCAGCAGCTCGCACACACTCTCCCACTGCGGATACACCGGAGCGGATCCGCTGCTGTCTCCTCCAGTTCCAACGCCCGCGGCCCCCGCCCCTCCAGTCCCAGCAGCAGCAGCAGCAGCAGCAGCAGCGTCAGCAGGGGCGGCGCTGTGACTGTCTTCGCCGCGCTGCCTGAACAGGTCGTCGTACAGGCGCACCTTCTGCACCTCAAGCTCCTCGAGGACTGCCACTGCGGGCTGCATGCACATCAGCCCAGCAACAGCGCAGCAGCAGCAGCAGCAGCTGCCCGCCACACAGAAAACATTTAGAATAGGAATAGTCCTGCGCCCCCTCTAACAATAACTCTCAACACAAAATGAGGAAAAGACCTTGCCTGGACTCTTTGCAGCTCGCTGCCCCTATGCGCTGTCTGCAGCTAGCTAGCTACCTCGCCACGAGCTGCAGTCAGCTAGGTATCGAGTCGGGAAGTGCAGCTAGCTAGCTGGCTAGCCAACACGTACGCGCTTTAAAACCACTGTAGCCTCGTAACTTTGGGCCCAAAGACCCATAAGGCTCCGGCCAAACTGGCGGGCATTCCGGGGGCTCAAAACGGGGTGAGGGAGGCTGCCGCTGAGTGCAGCAGCCGCTGCCGCCTCTTGTGCTACTTCTGCAGCGAGAAACCTCTCCTCAGCTGTAACCCCGCCTACGCTCGGCGGTGTTGCTGTTCCTGCTGCAGCAGACGCTGCGCGCAGGTCACGCTGGCCCCCCAAGGGAGATGCAGCAGCAGCAGCTGCTGCTGCCGCAGCTGCTGCTGCATCTGCTGCCTCAGCGCCCCCCGCGCTCCACGCATGCAGCAGCGCAGCAGCAGCAGGGCACTCCTGTGGCATCGTGACGGCCATGTTCAGCACAGTCTGTCAAACAGCGACAGCAGCAACAAACTCCAGCTCCTTGTAATTCAACTGCAGCACTGAAATGTAATTTAGCTGCAACTAAGGGGGACATTTCGGCCGCCTTACTTGGTGGGCAGTGCAGCCGTCAATCTCCAGCGTCTCCCTGGTCGCGGCTTCTCTCAGCAGCTGCAGAAGCAGCTGCTCTTTGGCATCACTCTCCTGCTGCTGCTGCTGGAGCAGAGCCTGCTGTTGCTGCTCTTGCTGCTGCTGGGGTCGCTGCTCCAGCAGCGCCAAAAAGAGATCAGGGAGGTGCTCTTTTAGCAGCAAAATGCGAAGGTCGGGCTGCTGGTACGCCGGGTGCAGCAGCACAGTAAAGAGGCACAAGAAGTAGTTGCTGAAACAAGGAGGAAAGACATAGCGCAGCCACAGCAGCAGCGTCTGCTGCGCCGACAGCCGACGCTCCGGCAGCTGCAGCAGACCTCCGTGCAGCAGCAGCAGCCGCACTTTGCGGCAGGTCAGCCCCTCCAGTGCATGCAGCAGAGCAGCGGGAGGCGGCGAAGACGACGGGGCAGCAGGAAGCCCAGGAAGAGAAGCACGCATTTCCTCCTGCATTGCGGCAGCAGCAGCAGCAGCTGCTGCTGCTGCTGAGTTGCGGGGGCGGCGAGCGGTGCCACTGCTGCTGCCTGCTGGAGCCGCAGCTTTGCTTTTCTCTTCTGCGCCTGCAGATTCATCTTCTTTCAGCTGCTGTCCCTGTTGCTGTTGCTGCTGCTTCTGCTGCTGCTTGGCTGCGTTGAGCCAGTTTCTCAGATCAAGCAGGTGCAGCAAATCTATGACGTCTGCGCCCTCCAACAGAATCTCCGCCAAAGTGCAGTTCACCGAAAACATTTCTGCAGCCTGCAGCTCCTGAATGCCTTCGGGAAAAGGCTCCTGGGGTTCTTCGTTGTCCACAAACCTAATACACAAAAAACAGAAACAAAAGAAACAGCAAAACAAACAAAGTCCTTCAGCCCCCAGGCAAGGGGCCCCCAAAGGGCAAGGTCATTGCACTTCAGGGATTCTCTGGAGAGAGAAAAAAACAAAAAATGAAAGCCCTCAGGCGCATGCCGCCACGAACAAAGAGAAGGGGGGAAAGGCAGCAAAAAGAAGCGTTTGAGCCAGCGGGAAAGAGACAAAAGAAGCGAAGCTGAAAACCCAAAGAGAAGCAAACAGAGCCAGTACAAAGACGTGCACTGCAGCCTCGTAAAAGAGCTGCTAACAAGGCTTTAGCAGCTGCTAAGAGCTGCGCGACAAAATGCCCCCTTAGGCGTAAGGGCCCTCGCGGAGCCGAAGGAAGCGCAGGTGCAGGACCTGGGGCTGCAGCTGCTGCTTTTGCGCAGAGCGCCGCATGCGGCCTTCATGCAGCGGGCTGCGAGCTGCAGCGCCCAGCCAGCTGCCCGCATGCAGGCGGCTGCGTGCTGCAGGACGCAGCCAGTATTTGGTGGCTGCTTGCTGCAGCACGCAGCCAGCTGCCCGCATGCAGCTGGCTTCGTGCTGCAGCATGCAGCGAGCTGGCTGCATGCAGGTGGCTGCGTGCTGCAGCATGCAGCGACGTGGCTGCATGCAGTTGGCTGCGGGAGGCAGGTGGTGCGTACCGCTCGGGCGCGAGGTAGCAGCGGGAGCGCTTGGCAGACTCGAAGAGGAGGCTGTAGACGCGCATGTCTCTCAGGCGCAAAACAACATCTTTCCAGGGAGCGGCGTCAGTGAGGAAGAGGTGGAGGCTGGAGGTGAGGCCCAAGTTTTCAGTCTTGAGGTCGCAGTGGGCAAAGGCCAGGCTGTGCAGCTGCGCCACTGCAGCCAGCAGCTGGAAGCACATGAACAGCAGCTGCACGCAAGACGCCGCAGGCCGCACGTGCAGCCGGCCCCACACCGTGCTGCTGAAGTACCGCCGCAGCAGCAGCGCCGAGCGCTCCGCCAGCAGCAGCCGCTCGTCCGGGCAGCTGCACACACAGCAGCAGCAACCTGCAGCAGCTTTCCGACACTTCTCCACAAACACCAATGCTTATTTAAACGGAGCGGCTTCGCTTCAAGACGCAGCAACAGACTCGCAAAAATCAAATGCACGTATTCCCGTGAAAAAGCCCACAAGCACGCAGCAGCTGCAGCAGCTGCAGCAGCGGCAGCAGCGGCAGCAGTTGCAGCAACGGCAGCAGCTGCAGTTGCAGCAGTTGCTGCAGCAGCTGCTGTGCTGCGCGCAGGCCCGGAGGCCAGGAGACTCGGTGGAATATTGCGCCTAAGAAGACAGAGGGGAGGCGGCGGCGCAGCAGCGGGGGCTCAGCAGCACAGCAGCCAGCAGCAAAAGCCAGAAGCAGCAGCAGCAGCAAAAGTGCCACTCGAAATGCACCAAAGATGCATGCAGTAAGACAAAAGCTTAGGGGGAGCGACACCGCTGCAGCAAGCTGGAAAGCCCCAGCAGCACGTGGAGTGGGCAGAATGAGACGGAGAGAAAAACAAAAAGCAAAAGTGCTGCAGCCACGAAGGAGAAGAGCCAGGGAAAAGTTGAGCAGCACAAGGACAGGCAATTAGGCAAGGGAAGATAGGCCAGAGCGAGCAGAAAGAGAAAAGAAGGATCTAATTAAGTATATCGCGATCTAAAATGTCTCATTCGTCTTTAAGGGCCAAAGCAGTTCATTTAGCTTTCGAAAATGCTGTTGACAGACATGTTTGGGTATAAGTCAAAAGTGAAGACAGCCTTGTGGAGGAGCTTCTGGGCCTGGAAGCGGCGCAGCTCAAGGGGGGGCCCTTTGGTTCCCGCGGCATTCTTGTTGATAAAGAGTTTGCAAAATGTCAGTCCGTCTGTGACTGAGACGCACAGGAGGCTGCTGCTGACCCGCGAGGTGGATATACACCCCACCGCATGCAGAAACGGGTAGTCTTCCATGTGGCTCCGCTGCTCATCTGTAAGGGGGGAAGTCGGGCTCTGGGAAGACAGCTGGCTCAGCTCCCCGGCCGGGAGCGCTGGGCTCAGCCCCGCAGACACAGTGTTGCCCATCTTGCTGCTGCTGCTGCTGCTGCTGCTGCTGTGGGGTGCAGTTGCGGTCAGTCCCACGGAGAGGCCGCCTGCCGCGGAGTGCACGCTGTGCTCAGCAGAAGCCCCCGAAGGAGCCACATGACTTTTGAGCCGCAGCTTGTTCGACGGTGTGGCGTGTGCTGCTGTTGCTTAGCTGCAGCATGTGCTGCAGCTGCTGCTGCGCTGCTGCTGCTGGGCAAGACAGCGCGCGGGGATCAGCGGGAAGGCAGCTCCTTTACCGTTACGCCGCTACCATAGAAAGTGTACAATATAATAAAATCATCTATTTCGAGAAGTTTGGAATCCTGAAGACTGCAGTGTGCTGTCAACAGGGCAGCGAACCAATGGGCCAGCCGGAGTCGTTGCATGCGCTCGTGGCCCTTCCGTTGCAAGGGGCTGCACGGCTCCTCTTAACAATGTCCTTTTAAGGTCTTAATGCCCTAAATGACGCATTAGTGAAGCGTCTACATTGGATTCTTGTGGCTTCAGCCGTTGCTGTCACTGCAGCAAGGACAGCAACCGGAGCGCCAGCCTCTCCTATCTGAGCGGCGCCAGCCACAAAGGTTCCGTCGGGTTTTTGGTCTATTAACCTCATCAGGAAGGATTGCTGCATCCACACAGGGCAAACCTTTCTTTTGGGGGCTTCATGCTGCTACTCACCGTGCACTCCTGTGTTGCCCGCCGTATCGACCACACTGCGGCTTCCCTGCTGCTGCTGCTGTTGCTGCTGCAGTGTGTCCACCTTCGGTTCTTCCGCCTGATCCACTAATGCAGCAGAAGCAGCGTGTGAGAGGAAGCGGCAGAATCTGGAATCTCTGTATCTGCAGCGGCGGCCCTGCAACAGCGCAGAAGGGCAGCCGCTGAAACAGCGGAAGCAACAGTGGCATTACAACGAGAAAGCTGCACCACGCTGGGGACAGGCAAAGCCGGCTGCTGAAGCAGTAACGAAGGCAGCAACCGCAGCAGCAGCAGCAGCAGCAGCAGCAGCAGCCCCTGCAGCAGCAGCAGCAGCAGCCCTTCTGGTGTGACGCCGATATGGATACACCCCTAGGCCAAAGTGGCCCCGCTGGGGGAACGGCGCCAGGGGGTCCTGGGGAGAGGAACCCCAGTGACGCTACTGGCCAGCATGAGGCCACGGCGAATGCCCAGGCAGCAGCCGCACCTGCAGCAGCAGCAGCAGCAGCAGCAGCGGCAGCAGCAGCAGCAGATGCTGCGGACAGAAGAGGGGCCGCAGAAGAGGCGTCCCTAGTTTGTTTAAGGGGGGCTTCGCTCAACAGCAACAAGAGCACAAGTCTTGAGGACACTCGCGGAGGCGCCTGGGATGGCTGCCCCTTTTCAGACTCCAGGTAAGCGATTGCTGCTGCTGCTGCTGCTGCTGCTGTCCGTGCTCTAAGTGAAGCCTTAGTGCTGTTGTTGCTGTTACTGCTCCTGCTGTTATGGGAGCTTTGGTGCTACTGCTGTTGTTGCTGCTGCACCCATCGCTGCGTTGAGCTTTGCTTGCGAGGCTGCTGCTTCGGCTCTTGTTGCTGCAGCAGCAACGGCATCGGCGGCAGATACCTGCGCCTCTTCAACTGGATGGACTTTCCAGCCAGGGCCCCGCAGCCCCCTGCGGGGCCCCGCATTCCTTGGGCTTCTGCTGCCGCGGCCCTTCAGGGTGCCGACTGCAGCCAAAACAGCAGCAGCAGCAGCAGCAGTGACATCACACCGTCTGCGGGAGCAGCACCAGCGCCAACAGCAGCAGCAGCAGCAGAAGCAGCAGCAGCAGCAAGAGCGCCATCCCGGGACACCCCCCGTATGGTCATTGGGGTCTGCGCTATGCGCGTGAAGACCGACAGTAAGCTGCTGCTGCTGCTTCGCCCCCTCAGGCGGGCCAGCTGAGGGTTTGGGGCTGCAGGGTTTAGGGTTTTGGTCCCAGAGGTTTTGGGGCCAGTTTTAGGTTGCAGCCAATCTAGAGGCAGCAAAATGCGGCCAATGCAGCTCTTTTGAGGCTCTCTTTTCTTTATCTTTCTCCTCTTTAGCTGGCTCCAGCAGCAGAGGCAGACAGTTTGTCAAGGCCCTGCGCCGAGAGCCCACCTCCAGGGTCTAGGGTTTAGGGTTTAGGGTTTAGGGTATAGGGTTTGGGCAGTGGCTAGAGAGCACTTGGCAATTTGGCATTTTGGCTTTTTACTTTTATCTTTTTTTCTCAGGCCGCCCCATGAGGGAAATCCTGGAGCGTCTTGAGAACTTCGAAGAGTTTGCAGTTCTTGTTTTCGACGAAAAGGTCAGCTTCCGGGGTCCGAGGGCCCCGGGGCCCCGGGGCCCTGGTACCCTTTGCTGCTCCCTGTAGCCCCTGGCCCGGCTGCTGCGGTTTGCGGCCATTTGTGGGGCCTTTGCTGGGGCCCCTTGTGGGTCTTTTGGGGCCCCTGGCCTTCCTTGCCATTTTGCTTCGCTGGGTCTTTCTGGGCTGTGGGGCCCCTGTGCCTGCACTGCTCTTTGCTTGTCGATTTCTATTCCACTTTTTGTCGCTTTCCTGATTCTTTTCTGTTTATTTCCACCCCACGTTCTGGATTTCTGCTTCTTGTGTGCCTCTACAGCTTGCGCTGGCAGCAGCAGCTCTTCTGCTACGCATTTAGCTGTTTTCTAATGCCCTCTGTGTGCTAGTGTCTGTCTTAGTTGCTGCTGCATTTGCTGCCTGCGGCGGTGTTTCTGCTGCTTCTGCGCTGCTGCAGGTCATTCTGGAGGCGCCTATAGAAGAGTGGCCCCGCGTGGATGGTTTAGTGGCTTTTTTCTCTTCTGGTTTTCCCCTCAACAAGGCCATTGCCTACGCCCAGAAGTACAAGCCAATTCTCCTCAACGATCTTTCCAGGCAGCAGATCATTAGAAACAGAATCAGCATCTACAAAGTCCTTCGAGTGAGGCTGCAACCACGCACGGGCTGCTGCTGCTGCTGCTGCCGCTGCTGCTGCTGCTGCTGCTGTTTCTGCTGCGTGAAACGCTGCTGCCACCGCTACTGCTGGTACCAGGCCTGCTATTGCTGCAGCTAGTGCTTCGTTGCTGCTGCGGCACGCGGTTCTGTTGTGGCCGTGGCCCTTTTGTGGCGGTCGGGACGCTGCGTCTGCTGCTGCATGCGGGTTGGCGCGCTGTTGCTGCTGCGGCTGCACCTCTGCTGCAGCAACACGGGATTCCGCACCCCTCTTACGTCGTGGTGGACTACAACGCCGTGCGTAGGGGCGACGCGGTCTTCTCCGAGGGCTACGACTACCTCAGCATTAACGGCCAGCGCATTAACAAGCCCTTTATAGAAAAGCCCCAGGAGGCCGACAACCACGACAACTGGATTTACTACCCCAAGAATGCGGGTAGGGCTGCGCCGCCTGGGGCTGCTGCAGCGCTGCTGCTGCTGCTGCTGCGCTGCTGCTGCTGCTGCTGCGCTGCTGTTGCTGGGGTTGCTGGGGCTGCTGGCGTCGCGGTTGCTGGTTTGCGCACAAAAAACTTGTTCTGCCGTTTCACTTTCTTTGGGGCGCAGATGGCTCGCCTTTTGGTTCCTTTACTGGAGCAGTGCAGCTGCTGTTAGCGACTAAATCTGCTGCTGCTGCCGTTGCGGCGTTTTGTGGCTATATCCACGGCTGCTGCTGTTGCTGCTCTGCGGGCTGCAGGCGGTGGCTGTAAGAAACTCTTCCGGAAGCAGCAAAACAGCAGCAGCAGCTACTTTCCAGATATCCACCAAGTGCGCAAGGATGGCGTCTACCTTTATGAAGAATTTCTCCCCACCTTTGGCACAGATGTGAAGGTGAGGCTACCTCTCTCTGGCCGTATCACAGAACTTGGATTATTATTATTGTCATTATGATTATTATTATTATTATCATTACTATTATTATTGTTATTATTATTATTATTACTATTATTATTACTATTATTATTATTATTATTATTTTGTTTAGAAGGGCCCCATCCGGGCCAAAGAGGCTCACTGGGAGCCTTCGCTGCCCCGACTGTCCGGACGTTTGATTGTGTTGCTGCTGCTGCTGCTGCTGCTTGCTATTGTTGTTTTAAGGTGTACACCGTGGGCCCGCTGTTTGCTCACGCTGAGGCGCGCAAGAGCCCCAGTGTAGATGGCGTGGTTTGTCGCTCAGCAGATGGTGAGTGGTTACCACGAAGTTCCTTTTGCTGCAGTTTTTTTCCTTTTGCTGGCGCAGTTTCTGGACTCCAGGGGACCAGGACTTTGCAGGGTTTAGGATTTAGGGTCTAGACTTTACAGTTTAGGGTCTAGGGCTTGGGGCTTCGACCCTCAAAGCCACTTATCTCGTTACGTCTCTGTCGTTTTGCCTCCCATTTTCGACCCTTTTGCATCGAAGTCCTTTTCTTGGCGTTTTCCGTTTCCTTCTGGTGTATGGGACTGTTTCTTTTTATATCTGTTTCCTTCCTCTTTATTCCTGTGAACTTTTCCGTTTCGTTTTTGGTCTTTGTTGCTTCTGGCTGCTGCTGTGGGACCCGTCCCTGTTCTCTTGCATGCCTCTCTGGTGCCTCGTGCCAGTTACCATTTCCTTGCTGCAGTTTGCTGCAGCGACAGAAAACTGCAGCGCATACACTACTGCTGCAACACGTAGCATTCAGGCTACCCCTCTCAGCCAAGACCTTTCTAGGGGGCCCCCTGAATGGCCCCTCAGAGGCCCCTGCCCTGGTGTCAGTGCCCCCAAGGGGTACGCCCATGGGCATTTGTGGCTTTAAACATGTGTGGGGCCACCAGCTACTTGTGTGCGGCTTCTTTGTCAGGCAAGGAGGTGCGGTACCCAGTTATTCTGACGGAGATAGAAAAGTGTATCGCCTTCAAACTCGTCAGAGCTTTCCAGCAGGTTGTCTGCGGGTGGGTCTCGCTGGGGGCAGCAGCAGCAGCAGCGGCAGCAGCGGCAGCAGCAGCAGAAGCAGCAGGAGAAGCAGCAGAAGAAGCAGCAGCACTCAGCGACACCCGTCATGTATCTTTCCGGAGCCAGCGCAGCATT